TTCATAGTTCTACCATTGTCCAATCTCACTGATTTGATATGACCAGTAACAAAAATGGCTGGCAAAGCTACTGAGATTAATGTTAAAGTTTGTGGCATTGGATAATGTATATATGCAAACTTTACTTTGATGCACCATAATACAGCACAGTTTGACACTGATTTGTCACCATTATCAAGAAGATGTCCGACTGAACAGACATTCTGTTATTCTTCAATACCCACCAGCAATTTTGAAACTGCCACATACCACAGGAGCCAGATTTGTTGCATTGATAAAAACGCTAGCTGCTGGGAAATTAGTCATGAAAAACTCAAATATTTTGCGGTGATAGCACTGAGCAATGCATTTTCACTAATGTCATTATTCATGTGAATCAATTGAACAACACAGTCACATCCAATATATGCTTACTGTTATGGTCTGAACAAACAGGTTATTAATGAGGCAGTGCGCAACCTCTCAAATGTCCCACATTACATGGGGGAAAAGGTCAGGTTTTTCTCTGGTGCAGAGTGTCTGGCTGTACATTCATTTCCTGTGCACTTCAAAGCTCCATTGTCGGAGACCTTGACTCGTGTCCTCTGCTCAATTACATAAATACTGAAACAATCACCAGAATATTTCTTGAGAACCTTTTGAAAATTATTCCAATGGATTATGTTTTTTATAACTGAATTTAGTTAGGTGCTTTGATATACATGTATGCTTTACGTCATCTGCCAAGATATCCCCCATAATTTGTACATCAACGCCGTGTTTAAGAACATCATATATTTGTATCACTAGGAATAGGAAAAGAGCACTTGGACCATTACATTGCTCCTCCCATTAACCAAAAAAAGACTAACTTCACCTGCTCACCTTGTCTCCTGGGGGAGAGCTCTGAATAATTACTCGCTTAACCTAAAAGATAATCAAGCACAATTGTAGAGAATAGTCCTGCTTTTTTGGGGGGGAGAGGGAAAAGCCAGAGGTTCAGAGATATAAGCATAATGCTCTTTGTGCACAAAAAGTTCAATTTCAAAATTGACCTCTCCATTATTTTTTGTGGTGAATAACCAGCTTAGTAACTTGCTATATGTACTCACAGAAATCTATTAATGCTGAGTGAAGCTGTTTGAAAAGAAATGGGGTATATAACTAAACTCTAACCAAACTATCCTAGCTGATTCATGCAATTTTGAGTCAGGGAAACTACAATTCGGCAATTTTCAGATCTCGAGAAAAAAATCTCCAGCTTTTAATTTCATTCAATGTGAATGACACAATAAATTAATACCAAACACTTAAAAGTAGAACTCTAAAAAAATTGGATGAATGAAATATGCATTGTTGGTTCCTAAGGTAGGCTTATCTTATGGATAGCATCGAACGTTAATATAAAGTTAACATAAGTATAGTCCCAAGTTGCTAAGACTGTGATTTCAGTCTATAATTGTCCTGCACTGCCATATTTCTTGAGCCTTATTTAATGCTTGTACGAGGAGCAGTGCAATCTCAGAGTGTGTCAACCCTCTGCTTTTACTCAAGAACGCCGCCCCCCATTTGTGCCACAATACTCAGTGATACAGGCGAGTGTGGGTGTTCAAAACACAGTGATTTCATACAGCATTTCATGACTAGGGAATCCCAGTGAGGACCCCTTTAGATAACAGTAAGTAACACGTCACTCTGACTTGCAGGAACTCCAAAAGTAAATCACCTCAGGGCGGCGTTCCTGCAGTTCAGTGTTATGTGCTTCCGGTTATGTTATTAAGGAATCCTGACTGAAATATTGAAATATCCAGGTTTAGACTGCACTATCATACTTCATAAAGTGACTTCTGGCACTGATAACATGTCAAAGTCAGCGTTTCACTATTTTTATAAATGGAATCTTGTTGTTGTTGTAAGGGGGGCTTGGGAGGTGGGATGTGAATTTGCTGGAGATATCTCCTATTTTATAGTTTAAAGTAAAATCTATTTTTAAATGTTTAAATTAGATAGTGGTCACTGTTTCTTTCGACTTCAGGAGGATATTTATTATGTTTTAGTGTGTCCAATAATTTTTATTTTTTCTCCCCATTGACATATGGCTTTATGCTCTGTTCCTCCTTTGGCATATGTCTCAGCCTCCTTATGCTGAGGTGCAGCTCTTGTGGGCTTTGGTTTCTTTACATTAGTCATTTTCCATGTGTGTGAGCCTTTGCAGTGAGTATTGGGAAACCATTTGACTCAGAGAGAGCATCACACCAAGGCTGACCTCTCCTCACCTACCTGCCACACTCACACATTACAGGTAAAGAGTGCTGAAGTGATCTAGAAGCGGGAATCTGGCCTAACTTTGCAAACACCAGGACAAATTTGACCACAAAGGAAGCCTTTAAGTTAGAAAATCTAGAATGATCTTGTTATAGTGCTAGGTCAGTGACCATATTTTGAAACATCATTAACATGGTCCAACTTGGAAAATATAAAATAGTGTGCCGACACTTTAAGTGCCTCTTTGTAACCAAATCTGGTATAGCACAAGATTTTACCAGAGATAAAATAATAGTTAAGATAACATCAAAGCAAAATTTGTACTTTTATAAAACCAGACGGTTTATGTGTTCCTAAGGCAAAACCTGCCATAAAGACAGTGCAAGAAATGAAATAAATAGCACCTCTAAATTCATTGAAATCCACTCTGGGGTCCAATTTGTGACATTTACAAACTGTATTTGTTGTTATTTCCACCTTCTGGGGAATGGCCATTGTTTTACTCACTGAGATTATATTTGGAATTTGTCGACTTGGGATTCAATGCTCGCTGGCCATGAATTGTGCAGTTGTGACACAGGAATGGGGGTAAGGACTCATGTGGCATATAAACACTGACATTAATTAATTGGTGGGAATGGCCTGTTTCCTAGCTTTATCATTCTATGTAACTGGACATTGCAAACTGGAAGCTGGAATTAACACAACAAATCTGGTTTGGGAATGCCATAAAATAGACCCTGTTGTATCCTAAAATAATTTTGTATATAGCAGATAGCTCTTTGATCTGTTAATGTCAGAACAGATTTCATATACATGAACTGAAAAAGGTTTTATTAAATTTTTTTATTATGAATGTCTCTCCTTACTATTTAACATTGCTTTTTATGACTTTATGCTGACCAAATTAAGTTACCATTTATTGAATATGCACCTTCCTAAGCAGGAGTTATAACAAATTAATGATTTACATCTCCTGTTCATCAAATATATACATACTTGAAGAAAACAAACACATTATAACATATGGAGTCAGTGCCTAAAATTCATAATATACACCTGACTACTTAGTGAGGATTGTAGATTATCCACTGTGTCTGTGACAACAAATTGAGTATATTGATGGAACCAGCAATAAAATACCACATAGAAAACTAGAGAGCCACTCTATTCAATACCTTATATTGATAAGGTACACAATTGCATCTATTTGCTGTAGGACTGTCATCTCACTGTGGTCAAAATTAAAGTATGTGCCAACGTTGAGGCTTAACGTTTAAGCAACCTCTAGAGAAAATTCTTGTACGTCAGGATTTCAAGGTTTGAGGAGATATTGTTGTGCGGCCACTGTTAGATTACTTACTGCATATGTAAGGTTAGTGCGTGTATGTGGCTAGATGCCACTTCCTTATCCTTCAGTAGTAGTCTGCAGAATCTCACATTGATCTATACAAAGCTCAAAGCTACTCTTTACAAATAATATCAAGAAATATGAGGGGATGGGAGGAAAGGACAAACAAAGATAAATGTGATAGCTTCATCTCCATCCTCAGATGAAGCAGTTTTGGATTAAGGTTTAGACAAAGATGAATCAATGAGCATGTTTATGAAATAATAGTACTAACAGGATGGAGGTAATTGTTCATCAAAGCTGCCAAGATCACCATACAATAGTCTAAAGTTGCTGCTTCAACCCCTGCATAAAATGAGATATGCGTTTGTCTTTCGTTAAGTGCCTGAGGCATTTGTGTCCAGTTCAAAACTCTAGCCTGCATTTGACCACACATTTCACTTATATTGTCTACAATACTCAGCACTTAACAACTTCTGTTCTCTTTCGTGGAACAACTCTATGCTGTTGAGTTTCATAGGAAAGCATGCCATCAAGGCATTAATGAATGGACCCAGCAAGTCACATAATCCTTGCTATATACATTATATACACTCATAACCAGTCAATACAGTTATAGGTTTTGTAACTGAGAACCAGGTGGTTCTGAAAACACATTACTGAAGATTCAACATGCCTTACTGGCATTAACAGAGACATCTTCAGGCTGATGCTTCAAGACTGCTCTTATTTTGTGTACATTGTTGAGATTTACTTCGGTAAAAATGTTGCATTTATAAGTACATCCACACACACTCACTGGACAGGAAATGAACCTTTAAACTTGATCAGTCTGATCAGTTGTGCTTCCCTCTGATACATCAGAGTGTTGCCAGTTACCACCAATCGTATGTGTGACACTTCTGACTGTTTTATAAGTGCTGCAGATTATTCCTGTGCCTGTGTTCTTCTGTATACATCCACATAGTAAGTACTTGATAGCCTGGACAGCAGAAAAGGGTTAATGTTTTGTGGATGAATGATGCAATGGGCAGTTTGTAACCAGTTTGTCTTGATTCAATAACCAAAACCTAATGTTCTGACTTTAAACCGCAAGTTAATAATGCTGAGTTTTTTTTAAGTTTGAATAATTGTAATGAATGACAGTAAAACTAACATAGTGCAATTTTTTTTCACTCTGGAAACCATACAGCAAACCAGCGCTGCCCTGGGTCCAATTACAAAAAAAAATGACATTTTTCTCTCTCTGCAATAAGTCATACAATGTTCAGATGGGGGCCCGAAACTGAACCCTGACTAAATATCACCCGTTAAGTATACAACCATATAGCCCAAACAGAGGCGATTGACCCCCACTCCCCCACCCACCCACCCCCCCATTCTTTGTGTGCTGTCAGTTTTAGAAACCACATGCCTGCACATGGAGAGATTAAAGAATGCGTTCTGTTTGTAGAGGTATAATTGAAAGTCCTTTTTATGGAGGCCACTCCTAGTTTGGGGGGACTGTTTGTCGGCATTGATTTGAGAAAATTGGAATTCATTCCCAGTTTTCCAACGAGAATTATCTCATCACTTTCTGGAGCTCTTCTCTCAGCCAGGACGGTAACGGCAGACCCAGTCTGTACAGCAGCTTTGACAGTTCAATATTGTGGTCCTTGTAGTATCTTGATAGGAATGTTCTGGACTACAAGGAGAGAGAAACAATGAGAAAAGATGTAAACAAAGAGAATTTTTTCCCATCAATGTTTTTCAATTCCTTCCCTCCTTGAATTTGTTTGATGCTTCTTTCCTTCACCTGGGTTGCGAGGTGGAGGTTAACCTTGCTTAAGTGATCATTAGTTATGTTATTTACAGTGAATGTTAGGCAGTGAGTGTTAGCAAGCTATTCATTGTTGACCCCCGATCCCTTCCATCCACATTTGGACTTGGCTTGAGTACTGTATAAACACCAGCGCTGACTAGTTGGACCAATGGCCTGTTTCAATGTTGTATCGCTTTATGTAACATATGCACCACAAGCAATGGTCTCTGTGTAGTGACTGGGAATAGAAGCTCAGCTGAGATTCCATCCTTGGGGCACTAAAGCCAATTGAAGCTCCTCACTTTCTAACTCAGCACAGAACTTCTGAGTTTGAGACAGAGGCAGCCAGAGCGCAAAACAAAGATTTATGAACTTTTGCTAGGGAAGCTGGGCTGGGATAAGCAGAATCATTCATTTTTCACACAGAGAAGCACCGTGGACATGCTACAAATGATTTGTGACCACCTCAAGTTAAGATAGGAGGCAAAAGAATACATTTGTTTAAAAGAAATGTCCACTGTCCATTGCTTGGTTTGTGTAGTTTACTTTATTTAAATAGCCGTATCGGAAAATAAGAAGTTGTGGAACTTTATTTTAAGACTTGTAACAGTGGCAATTGATAGAGACAATATATTTATAATAATAATCCTTGCTTTGATATTTTCACGTCTTCCAGACAACTCAAAGCGCTTCACAGAATAGACTGTAAAGTGAATTGACTGTATTTGTGGGCGAAATGCGACAGCCAATTGCGCACAGCAATGTCCCACAAACAGTCGTGGATTGAAATGACCAATTTTTTTTTTTTTTGAGGGATTATTATCAGGCGAGTGGAGTAAGGAAACTTGCCCTAGGTTTCACCCTGCCGGGAATCTAACCCAGGTCGATATTTGCAGTCATTGGATTCAAACCTGAACTCAAAGACCAGAGTCTTTTCTGATCTTTGAGTTCAGAGACTCAGTCACTGAAGAATTTCAGTCAAATTGGTTTGCATTTCATTTTATGTAACCTTTTTTTTCTGACGAACAGCTGGAGAGTAATTCCACCCAGACCTAAACTTACTCTTTTTTCTTAGCATTTCAGACAGTTCAGAATTTGGCAAATTGTTTAATTCAATCATAATAATAAACATCATAAAATTACTGATCGTTGCATTTGATATAGTGCCATTGGGACATCTCAAAACGCTTCACAGGATATAGCGTAAAGTAGATTGACCATGTATTTTGTGGGCGAAACTCTGAAGTCGGTTTTTCAGTAATTCTTAAAATAACTTGGACAACCGCCTTCAAAATCAAGATTGTATTTATGAATTTGCCAAATTCTGCTGGCTCTTAAATGCTATGTTTATACAATAATAAATTGTTCATCTTCAATCCACGACTGTTTGTGGGACACTGCTGCGTGCAATTGGTTGCATTTCGTCCACAATATATGGTCAATTCACTTTACAGTCTATTCTGTGAAGCACTTTGAGACGTTGAGAAGATGTGAAAAGCGCTATATCAAATGCAACAATTATTATTATTAATAAATCTCAACCTGGGTGGATGGGTGGAATTTTAAACCCTAGTAAACCTTGGATGATCAATGTAGCATTTTATGTGCCAACCACTCCCAGCGATGTGATTATAATAATAATCCTTGCATTTGATATAGCACCGTATGACATTAAAACATGTCAGAGCTTCACAGTGTTTTCTGTAAAATACAGTGCAGTAAAACCTCACTAATCCGGTCACTCAAGTGACTGGGCAAAAGTAAGGTGACCTGATTACTGAAACAGATGAGGTGATTCAGGTCACTGGTGTAATGTTAAGGGCATTGGTAATGGGCAGGGTGATAAACATTCAACAACCATACTTTGCAATCTCATTAAAATAAAGGCACTGTCACATTTAAAACAAAAGCTGTCATGTATTCAGCCTTCCTTTTGAGAATGCATCCAACTTGTTCTGCCAATGCCATAGATCACAGCTAACTAATTATGACTTTTGGCCTCACTGTTTTTGATTAAATCCACTCTCTCACATAAGTATAACTCCTTCCGTAGTGGCATGTTTACAGCACTTACCAAGAAGTGGCTGCAGGAGCTCAGGTTAGGCCGCGGGCACTGGACAAAGTCGATTTTCCACTCACGCCGCTTCGGCGATCCACTCCAGCCACATTAGCAGGGTTGAGAAAACAGCGCGAGAAGCCCGAGGTCTAGTGCACTGTGTACTGTACAGGTTAGGGCTGGATGAAGTGTTTTGTTTGTACCATGTTTGAAGTGGAGGAAGGCACGGTAGTGGCCGCAATCAATGTCTGTTGTCTTGAATAGTGAGGTGCCCGGTTTACTGAAGCAGACAGACTATCTTTTAACACTGATAATGAAAGAGACTGTGAAAATGTGCCCGCAATTGTGAGGTGGCTGGATTACCGAGGTGACCGCAAACTGGGTTTCTACTGTAACTGTGTATTTGTAGGCAAACATTTACATTTGATGCACATGAACTGTCCTTGGTATGAAAACATGTTTCAAGATTATCTCTCTTTAATGAACAGATATGATAAAAACTGAATTTTAAAGCTGTAAGATAAATTTGCCTACAAAATACAGTCACAAAACTTTTATCCTGTGAAATGATTTCAGATATCCTCCCGATGTGAAAGGTGCTATATCAAATGTAAGAATTATTATTATAATTTTCAAAGGATTGATACTGTCCACCAAAGCAACATGATATGCTCTGACTTAAATTGGCATTGCGGTATGTACACATTTAGATTAAACTAATCGATACAATTAAGACAAAATACCTCCATATCCATTGCTGGGTATTTTCTGCCTTTGCTCTTTCCGAGGCACTTTGTCTTCCCTCCTTCAAGCAACTGGCACCAGAAACCTTTTTGTGGATCAAATCTGAAATTCACAAAACATCCCCCTCAGCCATTTGCTACTAATACTTATAAGACATATCAGCCTTTGCAGGGATTTCACTTACACCAATCTATTAGCTATGAGACACACAGGTCTCGTCTAACATATGAAATTACACAAATTGCCATCTGAAAACAATATCCCTCACTTTTCACATTTGTTCATAGGAAAAATCATTGAGCAAGCTTCTTTTGGAAGTACCTTATCAATAAATGCATTAAGGTACATAGATGGAAAGCAATTGAGTTTAATCTCATCATTATGACGGATAGTTCCAACACTTAAAGCCATCTTGATTGTTATTTAGGGTGAAGTAAACAGTCTAGCAGTCAAAAAGCTGCAAACTATTTTAGCTTATAGATCAGAATGAACACAATGCCTGAAAATACCAGCATTACTAAGGGAATGAGCCTTTTCTGTGGGTTTTACCACCTCTGTTCCCACAGTTGTATTTCTTCACAAATCAATGTAAATGCTTTCTTTATCAACATGCTTTCTTTATACTCCTTTGTATTTCGTATTATTTTCCTCAAATTTAAACAACACGTGGTATATTTGTGATGAGAAGTTGAACACTTTACTATTTTATGAACCCAGTGCCTAGATCAGGAATTCCTAGATCAAGTATTGACCCAGTTAGATACAAAATAAAGCTCCCTCCACTTTCCCTCAACAAAATACCTCGGTCCTACATAAGAGGCCTGAAATTCCACCTAATTCAAGCCTGTAAGACCACTTTCACACAACTTTCCCCAGAATTATAGAATTTTTTTTTAAAAACTTTAACTGATTTCTTAACCAGCACTGAACTTAAGAAATTTCTACAATTTCAAACCTTTTTCCCAAAGTCAACAATGCTACCAGCTGAGCTTAACTGTACAAATTGTACAAGAGTAAAATGACTGTTAGGTGTGCACACAATAATTTAATTTCCTTTAATAGCATTGCTTCTTCACATTGTATACATTTTTGCTATTCTGTAATGTGAGATATCATGGTGTCCTGAGACCAACATTCCTCAAGATATTAACCTTAATATTATGTTTTGTCAAATTTTGAACATTTTCTATTTGTTCAGCTTCTGCAGCTTTATAATCTTAAGGCTAAGACTGCAAGACATTTCTGGTATTTAATAAATACCCATTGTAGTGTTGTTTATGGTATAAGAAAGAATAAACTTACGTCAGTGCCTGAGAGTAATTGTAGTACTGGGAAACTCCAAGAAATTTCTGAACCTCATCCATTACAGCAGCAGGATCCGTCCTCAGCTTATGGCCGTCTATAATAAGTAACTGAACGGAGTTTCAGTTAGGTAACGTCAAAGTTAATGCACGGTCTCAAAGATAGTTGATCACTGCTCACACACACGCAGGTTTAAATCAAAAGTGTCCACAATAATGTAGCTATTCAGTTTGCAGTATACAAGGCAATCCAGCTATAGCATGGTATTTGGGTTCATAATAAATGGTCCCTGCTTGCTTGCTTACTTACAGGTTCTGGCACAGACTGTCTGAAATCCAAAGCAGTACTTCCATTAACCATAGGCTCACAAGCACCTCATAAACTGACTCATGCTTCAGTGGGGTATTTTATAATAGGACTGCCCTCTAATAATTTAGGTTTTGGTTTCACACTTGCAACAGATGGGGAGACGAGACATTATTGCAGGTGCCTGAGACTTGAACTGAATTTCCAGCTGGTATCAGATTACATTTGCCATCAGTGCTGAACAGTCAGTGAACACTGGGAGTGACGTGGGCTAGAATCAGCATCTACTCTCTCAGCTTTGCCCAGATGGCTGTCAACAGTAGGTTTCTGGCTGTGATGGACACACAAGTCACAATTCATTTTGGAGTGAAGAAAAGGAATACTTTTCACTTGACACAAACAGAAATAACTGTAGTCGACACCTAGAATTTAGCCATAGATGTGAACATCAAACTCCCCCACCCCCTCCCCCAACTCCTCCTGATGTCAGCCTGAAGCTTTTGGCTGTTGCCACTATGGTTACGAGCCATATTGCATTGGCCTGACTCAAACAGAGTTAAACTGAATACCATGAAGTGACACCACTGATAATTATCACATCGCCGCACATTTTGCATTCCATGGATTTTTGGAAAGCATAAACAAAACAGCAAATACTTTGATGGGAGGCCAGTAAACTGGGTATTCTGCATGCATGACATGGAATGAGGCAGAACTCACTTCCAATCCCCAAAACTCACTTGTGATCTTGCAAAACAGGCATGCATCACTTTGTGTGAGTGCTTACCTGGCCAGAGGGGTAGTATGCCAGCCATCGATCGATATGAGTCGCGTACCATCCGGGTACCAGACAACGATTGTGAAGAGTCCGCAGCTCGGGCATGGCATGGCGACCCGCTGTGATCACCTCGTAAAAGCTGTACTTAAGAGCAGCATGGTCCTCATGGGCTCTCTGGTGCTGTGGATGGGAGGAGCATCAACACATTGGAACGTGTCCGCCAAGTAGTGACATGACCTACATAATAGGGATTGAGAAATACTCCTTCCCTTTTCCCCTCCCCCCCATTCAACTAGTTACTGAAAATAATTAGATTTCATCCCTCTGAAATACGCTTCCACATCGAAATACAGCATCAGCCATTCTGAAACGCATCTCTTTGGGGCAGAAGCACCTTGGGACGTCCTCCCATTGTGAAAGACGCTATAACAATGTCATTTGTTGTTGTTTTACTTTGAGAGTGAAAGTTCAAAGAGGCTTCAGCAAGCACAAGGCCCAGGCTTACCTGGTACCAGGAGTAGGCCCGGTCTGACGGGTTGATGAGAATGGTGATTATTTTTGCCTTTGGTAAGAGAGCATCTGCCCGCTTTGGAGCATCCTCTGAGTGAAAGTAGTTTGCGCTTTTCTCAAACAAAAAGTCCGTAGTCACATTAGAAGGGGCAGGGAAGAAATTCATGTACCTACAAACAAGAAAAGTGACATATGTACGTTTCCCTTACTTCAGTAAACATTGATAATCTGAGATCAGTAGGGCAGTGCGTCATGCACTGGAGTAGCAATACAATGCCCAATCATTATTATTTGGACATTGGCTTATGTCTCCATTTCTGGGCTTATTGAGTTTGGCTATACTCTAGCTTTGTGACAAGTTCAATGGAGGCCAGGCACTGCCTTATTGGTGCTTTAATTGGTTCACCGCCCAAGGCAGGCTAGCAGATTACTAACCTTAGGTAAAGTGGCAAAGGGAAACCTAAATTACAAGGGCAGCAAAAACCTTAAAATCGGAAACAAACAGGGCTAGAACTGAGATCACAAAGTATTTCTTCACACAGTGGGGTGGGGAGATGTGGAATGCTCTGCTCTAGAAAGTTGTACAGGTGGGATCAATCATGATTTCTAAAAGAGATAGACAGATAGTTGGATATTAGAGGCGTTAAGGGGTACTGTGAAAGATTGGGGCATTGGGATTAAAAATATTGTCAAGATCTAATAAAGTGTTGGGATGGGCTGAATTGCTTCCTTCTATTCCTGTTTTCCTGTTGGCAAAGGATGAAATACATACAATTCTAAGTCATCTTTCTCTCTGTACCAGTCTATCTATGCGACACAGTGAAACAACATTCAACACTAACATTTTGAATTTGATGGAATAGACTTTTTATGAATGAAGCAATTAAGGTGTGCAAGTGTTGTATAGTATTTTTCAAACGTTGAGTCCTGGTATATTTCTATATAAACTATGTTTTGACCATTTTCTTCAAAACATTGCTGGAGAATAATAATAATAATCCTTGCATTTGATATAGCGCTTTTCACGTCGGGAGGACATCCCAAAGCGCTTCACAGAACACACTGTAAAGTGAATTGACTGTATATTTGTGGGCGAACGCGGCAGCCAATTGCGCACAGCAATGTCCCACAAACAGTCGTAGATTGAAAATGACCAATTTATTATTGTTTTTGGAGGGATTATTATTAGGCGAATGGAGTAAGGAAACTTGCCCAAGGTTTCGCCCTGCCTGGAATTGAACTCAGGTCTCTCGCTTGCAAAGAGAATGCTCTAACCACTGAGCTACAGAAGCACCACAAACAAAGTATTATATTTTGGTAGATTGTCCTGGGCTTTTCCTCTTTTTTGATGTTGTGCTCCTCTGTGTAAAGAAGAGAAGTTAGTACTGGTTAAATGGAAAGCAATACTTTTGCATTCTTGATACCAGTGGACATGATATTAATCTGTTTTGTCTCAATATGCCTTATGTAAGACCTTACAGAATGTGGAAATGTTTTACATTCAGTCTTAATTTGAAAATCAATTTTCCATATCTTCCAAATTAAGATTAAATTTAAGAATGTTTCACAATTTTGAGTGGCGATCTTACATTTTTGAAAACAAAATAGTCTTACAGGCTAAGACTAGGTGGAATTTTAAGCATCATAGCCAAGCACTCCCACATCATATACAGACAGGAAAGGTACCGAGTTATTTATGTCCTGCTCCACGAAAATATTTCTAACCTCAGAAGGATACTCTCTTTGCATCAGGGAATAATTTCCATCATCAGCCTCTCTGATTTGAGATTGCCAATTTAGTGGGAAATTAAAATGAGTGATGTGCTGCACTCACTGGGAATTGGCTTATTACAGATCTAGCTTATTTCACATGTGAAGCTGTCAACGAATAAGAGTAGATTTTCATCCCACCCGTACCTAGAAATGAAAGGCCAGAAATGGATGGAAATGATAGAACTAAATAATGCTAATGTGATGTATTTATTATCACCGGTGATAATTATCACATGATTGATTAATCACGGTCAGTTAGGCCATTTGATAACCGATAAAATTCAGCAACTAAATACTGGACATGGGAATGACACTCTCAGTTCTGTCACAATGGTTGGCCCTCAAGATGAATGTGTGTGCCGTCATTGGACCAGCTAGTCTGTGTTAGAGAAACAGTTAGCTTGATCTTGGCTGAACTGCAAATCAAAAAATCTACGCGCAATTGCTTCATGGCAATTAGCTCAACAATGTGTCGTCTACCCAGGTTCCTAATTATTTGAGTACTTGAGGTTACATTTTAATATACCTGTGGAAAATAAATTAAAAATCTTTGGAATTCACAGAACCATTCAAGCATCAGTAACATCCTAAATAAAATTCATTTGCCTTGAAAGCAGGAAATTAATATCTCAGCAGATTATAAACAATGTGTTCCTAAGTCTAATAAAGACGTTCTTTGTTAAAGAAAAGCCATTGTTGCATGCCTTATCTTACCAGTCAATTCCCTTGTGATAAGTGTTTCCATTGAAGAACTGCACTTCTTCAAAGGTCTTTGGACTGGGGAAATTACTGGTGATGGCCGGATGCATTATTAGGAATAAGTACAAAGCCGTGGTTCCTGAGAAAAGAAATTATAAACTTGTCAATGTATTTGCATAAAAATGTCACCCTCACCATCCAGGGCATTTCCTCAGTTATCTTTTTGTTTGCAAGAAATTCATTCACTGCGGGCAAGTACTACAAAAACACTGCTTTGCGCAATAATAAATTATTCAATTAAAATAATTACTGAACATTAGCATAACTATGTTGTCACCAGTTACACCACATGCTTGATACATCCACATGGAATAATTCCCATGCATTTTCTAAAGTACACACTTACTAATTCAGCCACAGCTGGCATTGTTAATCTAATTCACACCACTTAGTTGAATACTTGATTCTTTTTATTGCAAACCTAGGTGAAAGTTCAAGGAACAGAGAGCACCACGGTTGAAAGGAGGGGCAGGGAAAACAAAATAAGTCAAGAAGTGTAGAGTGAAATCATCAGTAAAGGAGTGCATAAAGTAGGATTATAAGTGGAGGTGGTCATCAGTGGAGGAGGAACAAAGTGGGAGAGAAAACAGAACCCTGGGAATCAGTAAATTGTTGAAAAAAATAGTCACAGAGTGAATTATCACAGCCAGAAAGAGCAATCTCAGAGGAGTGTGATGTGATAGACTCTGTCAAAGGCAATGGAGTAGTCCACGTTGATGAAAGGTGAATTACCAAACTCAGAGATCCCAAAGTGTGTGATATACTCAAGGCAATCAACAGGTGATGCTGATAAAAAGAAATTGAAAATCTTAAAACATTTCTATCAACGCATATTGAATTCACTGTTATTAACTACAGTCAGGGGTAGAGGGTCACAATCTCCCTGGCTTCTTGTTAACTGTTAAATTAACCAATTGCCACTCATTGTGTAACAGACAACAAGCTTAAATGTTTTGATGTGTGCTGCTGCAAAGTGAATCAACTGTTATGGATAACAAGTTATTCGCTGAACAGAAACTGACTGTATTTTCTGGTAAAGGTTCATCTTCATCAGCATGACAGATAGTCCTTCAAGTAAATGCTTGCAATAAATAAATGCAAGATCTTAATGAAAGCGGGGGGGGGGCAAGAATTTCCACCTCAGTTTGTTTCCTTAAAATACCAGGGTACTCAAGAGTTATTGAATAGTTCATAAAAGGACATGTAGAAAGTAGGAATTAAAATTAAGAATTTTCTATATCCTGGATGTTCTGAAATGCTACACAAATATATCCAGGGGGAATTCCCTTCCCTCCAGTTTCTAAGTTGTCATCTAGGTTATTTTAAAGCTCGCTGATATGACCAAATATTGAGCTGCTGGATAAAGTTATAGTAAATTGGAAATAGGCACCTGGGATACACTGCCCGACAATTGAAGTTTAGAATCGCAAAACAATATATCTGGTGCCTACCATTCAGAATTAATCATTAATCCTATAGAAACAGAATTAGTTGGGCAATTTATATGAAGCTCCTATTTATTCAACAGATAACAGGGAAGAACTGAGATAACTGCACAGTGCAAACCTTAGATTAAATGTTTACAAGAATCAATAACAAATTAACCACACGTTTTCTACTAGCCTTCAATTAAGTCCCAGTACCCACTGAAATTTAATTTTTGTGAGTCTGTGAGCAACATCAGATTTCAACACGTTTTAGGCTGTATATTTTGCAGACAGTTGTGAATTTAAACTTATGATATGACACTATTTTGTATTATTTGGGCCCATGTTCAGCTGATCATGGTGAAAGACGCCAGTGGTGGGGAATAGAACACTATTGTGACCAGTCATCAATTTTAACAATAATTCATCATTTGGCCTAAATCTGCAGATCCTAATTGGGGACTGAAATTACTCTATGCTTTTTCTATCCCAGAGACTTTACCACAAAGATGTAAACAGAATCATAGGAGTTACAGCACAGAATATTATGCAATAAAGCAGTTCTATTCTAGTTCCTATGCACCTTTGTAAAGTAAAGAAATATTATTGTTTGCAAATGGTTTTAGTAAATAGTAAATATCAAACCCTGGATGTGTTGGGGACGACTCTCTGGAACTCCACTTCGTGGAAATCAATGCTGAGATTAGCCCCCGAGCAGAGTTTCAAAGAATCTTCCTGAAACACAACTGGGATTTTCTGTTCACTCATCTTACAATTTAGATCCATTGATGTTAAGTTAGCTAAATTCATCCACCACAATGGCTGTAGAGTGCATTGGCCAGATTACTGTTTTAGAAAAGACACAATGGTGCTTTTCATCCAATCATATGTTCAAATGCTCTGTTAGCACTTGACATTCAAAGCATTGTTGGTTGGTGTCCAAATATGGCGATCCATCATTGTAATAAAGTCACTGCAGTATTGATATTCTGTCACTGACACTTTTAATAAATGCTAGACACAGTTCAATATTTACAAAGTATGCTAAAGACAAATGTGACAAGTAAAATAGATCATAGTTTTTGCATCAATATTCTCTTCACTTTCTCTGCTTGAATCTAATGTGAAACTCCCAAGAACTGAACTTTAAATCTTACTCTCAGAATCTTAATAATAACCAAATATCATTATAAAAAAACAACTAGTTTGTACATGGAGTACAAACATCTGCACCAGTCCAGGCAAGTTCACACCAAATCAATACCTTGTTTCCAGTAGATACTGAGTTGCGATATACCCATGACGTGGCCATGTATGAAGCAAATTTCAATGAAGAAAAATGTATTTGGATCAACCAAAAATGTATTTGGACCAAAAAAGTGTGTCCAGCACTGCACTGCACTAACAAAACAGAAGCACATCTAATAGACACCCAGAACATGTGTCACCATGTCGACAGAACACTTGTCACGGCATCCCAGACAGGTATGCTTCACCTTGTCCAGACGAACACATGTCATCGTATCTCAGAACTATATCTCATTGTGTCCCAATAACCATCAGGAATTAATTCTACTTTATTTCTTTGGCATTTTAAAATGACCATAATTTGTTAAATTATTAAATATTAGCTTTGATTTTTAAGTTAATTTATATTCAGTTCTTTTAAGAACTATATGAAACCAATTTGAAAGTTAAGACTGGATTTAACAATTTGCCAGATTCTGGACACTCTAGAATGCTACAGAATAAATCTAGACCACATGTCTCATTATGTCTTAGATATAACCACATCTCATTTACTTAAATCATGACTACTGAGGTCCAGTGCTGCATTGGTTGAGAACAAGAGGGACCAGGAATCATTTGTGCAACCTTCTTCAGGTTCTCTGTAAACCTCAATCACAATCCTAGTGTATTAATTTGACTACAATCTTAATTCACCAGCACAAAATAATCTCACCAGTTTTTTGAGGTCCAATGACCAGAAATTTTGGCAAACGATCACAGGTTTTTTCTTTAGACCAGATGTCCTTGTGTCGCTTGTCATCACATGGATTCTGTCAGGGAAGAAAGGGATTGGATGTGAATTAGGTAAACGGGATGAGTTCCTCCAGGGAGCAAGTTGATATTTCAATCCAGTAAATGGGAATTTCCACGTGGGATGCATGGACCTCAGTTTGGTTTGTATACTCTTAAGCATTGGTGATTGGTTTCTGCAATGTGTCACACCCAATTGACACCAAAAAAGTCAATTAGATATGAAGTCCAAATAGGAAATGTTCTTGGAGGTCAGTATTCCATGGGCAGTTATGGCTTTTATGGAGTGACCAAGTGGCGGTGTAATGAACCAACATATTGTACTATTGATCAGCAAGATGCAGGTCAGAACCGGTGGCATGTGTGGTAATGTATCGAGCGAATTGCATCAGGATTGTTTTCGCCTGAGCTGGGAACTTTAAAGACAGAACTAATAAAGGTTTTCAAAACATTGAATTATTTTGACAGGATAAATAGAGAAGAGAGCATTTTCAGTGATCAGCAAGTCAGTTACGAAAAGGGCATCAATTTCAGATTGTCACCAGCAGTTGAAGGTCAGAAGTTGCATCTTTTACAGAGCTTTTCTGGAATGTGGAATGTTTGGGATAATAGTTGTCGTAGCCTAATCCAAACATTAAAATAACTTAAAAGGAATTTGATAAATAACCAAGAAAAAAATATTTAAAGGTGTGGGGAACGAGCAAGGCAATGAGAGCTGAAACAGGATAGGAAAAAAACACACCAGCATAAGAGGTACACTACCAAAACAAACTTCTTGAATTGATTGCATTATTTATGTCATCTTTTTCATGTTTCCCTGCCACAAATTATAATTGTTAAACATTTCTTTTATTCTGTTTTCTTCCCCCTCCACAAAACAATGTTCACCATTCCCTGGCTGGGACGTTGTGGTTAGCGATAGTGCTGGGCTATAGTTTCAATTGGGATTCCTGTATGAATTTGCCTCGGCTAGAGTTTCATGTTCCAACCTTTAGTGATTTACAATAACAACAACAAAATTATATTTGTATAGCGCCTTTCACGGTTGCACATGAAAGAGGATCTTATAACTAAATACTCAAGGTTTGAGTATCTTGCTTTGGAATAAAAACAGAAAGTAGTCTGAAAACAAATGAAAAGTTAGCATTTCAGGGATGCCAATTCATTAGGCCTGAAGTGCTCGGGCTGGATTCTTGGTTTTCTCTTTATCTCTGCTAATCCTCTTTGGGATTATGTTCAACCAACAAAACTGTAACGTATCTACAATGCATAGAGAAATCAAATAATCTTTGATTTTTCCAAGCCTCTTGCTAATCTGACAGAAATTTTGAATGATTTGGTAACAGTATGAATTTACCGACCTTTGCGACTTGTGCTGATAATGGAAAATACCATTAAAAGCTCAAGGTAGGCACCAAGGGCGGTCAGTAAATTTACTGATGAGGGGACAATCAGCCTTTCTGACATGACAAAATGTAAGGTGAGACATTTATCTTGCCATCTAGGTAGTGGCTTTAACAATGTTGTCTTAGTACAACTAAGCCAAAATCCATAGTCACTACACTTTACATTGAAATCCTAGAAGCGCTTTGAGAGATTTCCTGACATAAACACAAGCATTATTATTATTATTGATTTTTACAATGCAGTTATTTCAATAGCTGTTTTGGCACAACTTAAAGTAATTGTTCTGCAAGATATGAGGGTCTAATCCACAATATTTGCAAAAAGAGATGTAATGTCTTAAATTTGTGATGTTTGAAAACTGGAGAAATGGTAACAAAGGTTGAAGAATGAAAATCCCGTTAAATTGTACATCGCCATAAGAGGAATTTCAATCCCTCCCATTTTGGCTGGATTTCCTAGACTCAGAGCTGCAAATGCAACTTTCCTGCCTCACTTCTCCACCACTGAAATGCAGTAGTTTTAGGACCTCAAAGGCAAAAAACAAAATATTTGTCAGAATTACCGGACAAAGACTGACAACTTCCCCCCAGCCCCCCTCCCCCACATACACACTTTCTGTTTCGGAGATGTGCTAGCCTTATTTGCTCTCACCAACACAATACTTCTCAAGCATGAGTGCTCTTCCAGTCTAAAGAGATATTACAGTCGTACCTGCCAGAGTGGCTCTTTTTGTTCAGGAAAGAGCTCAAAGTACTTCTGAGCCAGCTGAACAGGGGGTAGTGTCTGAAGCTTCAGGTTCGTCCAGCAGTGAACAAAATTGGCCAAATTCACAAACGTATAGAGCCCCAGTCTATCATTTCCATAGTTGGATAAATGTGTCATGAAGATACTGATCTGGAATAAGAAGAAACAAAATATACAGGTTACAGACTAATTATGCAACCAGCCTCTCTTTGGGGTTTTGCATATGAAAGTATTAAAAGTGGTTAGTTTATCAACCAGAAGTGGGAAGGTTGACAAAAGCAGAGCTTGCACGTGTCTTGCTCATTTCCATGGATCGATCAGTTTGTCAAGTACTTAGTAACGTCAGTGGAAAACAAATCACCAGGATATTTATCATGATATAATCTCAAATAGCATCCAGGGGAGTTATTGAATTATTCTCCCATTCTCAGTAAATTTACTGATCTTGCATGGTCAATTCATGCAGTATTTATTATTCTTCGCTTGTTAGTAAATTTAATGGCCTTTGGTACCCTTTACTTATAATGGGAGCATTCCGAGTGCACAGCAGCTAAAGTCAGTAAATTTACTGACAAGCAATCCACCACCAAAGTCCAATTAATTCATCTGCCATGACTCATGAGACAACAACACTCACTCAATTCAGTGAAGAAAAAAACAATATGATCACCTCGCTTTACTGCTGTGTTGACTAAAGCCACAATTATAGCAATAGATTATTGAATACGACTATTTGTATTAACCATAACCCAAAAATGTAACTGGTTAGACGCTGATTTAATAAAGTGGTTAACAGCAGGTTAGTCACAAGATGAGACATTCTTCAGGGATAATGTGAAGGCAGAGATGTGTGACTGGAAGCTTGCCAATGCCTTAGTTTATTCACTTAGCTCTTTGTGCTATTAAAACGCAATAAAATGTCAGACATAAATAATCTGGCCTTGCTTTTATCATACAAGGTTGTTTTAGATAACAGGCTCCTTTTGCTGCCCTATGTATAGTTTAGATTTGGTCCTCTGCCAGCATTGGGGAAGAGAACTATAAGAAGAAGGGAAAGCTGTGCAGCTGCACTGAACCACTGGATGATGCTATCTATACTCAAATACCAATCCTACCAAACTGCATGAAAATAAATATAGTGCAGCGTAACAAGCAACTCACTGCTATGCAATAAGTGTATATTCAACAAATATTTTACATCTTTAATGGAATAGAAAAGCCCTTAATGGTTAGATTTTAAATACATACCTCACGAAGATTTACAAAATGCCTGAATGCAGGGTTCAAACTGTGTTCTTAGTTCTCATTGTATAAGTGAAGATTGCCTTCTCATGCTGGAGAAAGCAGAGTGTTTTTCTCTGCAATCACGATTGAACAACTCTGTTTAAACTTTCTGCGGGGATTCTGCTGATTTGCATAATACATTCAACTCTAAAAGCTGCAGAGTCTTGGCAGCATGTTATCTATCTGAGATAATACCATACCAGACAAGAAAGTGTAGTTCACGAAAGTCCTAATAATAATAATAAATAATAATAATAATCCTTGCATTTGATATAGCGCTTTTCACGTCGGGAGGACGTCCCAAAGCGCTTCACAGAACACACTGTAAAGAGAATTGACTGTATATTTGTGGGCGAACGCGGCAGCCAATTGCGCACAGCAATGTCCCACAAACAGTCGTAGATTGAAAATGACCAATTTATTATTGTTTTGTTTTGGAGGGATTATTATTAGACTCTGTGTGGAGTAAGGAAACTTGCCCAGGGTTTCGCCCTCTGCCTGGAATTGAACTCAGGTCTCTCACTTGCAAAGCGAGTGCTCTAACCACTGAGCTACAGGACTCCGTAAAGTACATAATCCTTGTATTTGAGATAATAAATCTCAAAGCACTTCACAGGATTTACTGCAAAGTGTAGTGACTATATTTTTGTAAGCAAATGGCCCACATGTAAGAAAATATTGACCATCAATCAATGTTTTTGACTGGAACATGATTTTTATTTATACGGACTAAGTGTGGGTCATTTCATAACAAATTCTATGTGATCACATTAATACAGTCAATCCACTTTACAGTATACCTCAACATGGTGATCACTCGGGGCCTCACCATCTTGGACCTCACCATCATCGATAAAAGTAATCTCGGACCAGTACTTCATCTCCCTTAACTCCTCAATCAATCTCCCCACTATCACCCAATCCACCTCCATCTCATACCGCCCCTAGAAAAAAATCTCCCCCCCCTCCCGGCTACCTTGGAGTCATCTGAATTCCTTCCCCTCTGGGCTTCCTACCGCAATGACCTATCCTCCTCGGTGAATCTTCTCTACAGCTCACTCTCCTCCACTCTCGATTCCCTTGCTCCCCTCACTTCCCGAAATGTCTCCTACTTACGGAAGTCACCATGGTACCAGCCACCTCCGCTTCCTTGAAGTACAGGTGCGTGCCATTGAACACATATGGCTTAAATCGAACTTAACGATCCATCAGCAGATTTGGCTGGACCTTATCAAATCTTATCGCTCTGCCCACGCCTCCGCTAAATCATCGTTCTACTCAACGACAATCTTGGAGGCCAAGGACAACCCCAGGCTCCTCTTCTCCATCACCTACCAGCTCCTCCGCCATCCTCTCATGCCTCGCCCATCCTCACCTCCAATGTGAACTGTGAGGAGATTCTGGACTTCCTCGAATCCAAAGTCAAGGAGATCTGCTCAGCTGCCTCTGCCCTTCCGTCTACTACCTCCTCGCCATCTCCACCTCCCACCCCAGCCCCTATCCATTCCTCCCTCCACACCTTCCAACCTGTCTCCCCCTCCTATCTAATCACCACTATAACCCACATGAAACTGACGAATTTCTCCCTCAACCCCATCCCTCTCCTTACCTCCCAGTTCCACCTCCTTGCCTCTCTACTCATGGTCTTCGTAAACCTCTCCCTGTCCACTGGTACTGTTCCCACCCCTTTCAAAATGGCCATCATCACTCCTATCCTTCAAGAAACCCTCCCTGGACCTATTCCTGCTCTCAAACTACTGCCCCATCTCCAACCTTCCTTTCCTCTCCAAGGTTCTGGAATGAGTCATTGCTTCCCAGCTTCATTCCTTCCTCTCCCGCCACTTCCTTCATGAACACCTCTAATCGGGTTTCTGTCCCGCCCACAGCACGGAAACAGCCCTGGTCAAAGTGACAAATGACATTCTGTCCACTTGCGACCAGGGGTCCCTCTGCCTCCTCAACCTCGCTGCTGCCTTCGACACCATTGATCACTCTATCCTCATCGACCACCTCTCCTCTCAACTCAACCTTTACGGTTCTGTCCTTGATTGGTTCAGATCATACCTCTCAAACCACCTCCACTTTATCTCCACAAAGTTTTTTCCTCGAGCTCCAGCACCGTCTTGTGCAGCATTCCTCAGGGCTCTGTCCTTGGTCCCCTCCTCTTCAACGTCTCCCTCTTGGTGACACCATCCGCAGACATGGGGTCAACTTACACATGTACGCGGATGACTCTCAACTGTACCTCTCTGCCTCCACCGTTGACTCCAGGACCACTGCTGTGCTGACAGAATGTCTGTCAGACATTTAACAATTTTGGGTGGAAACCCCACCTGGGTCTAAATTTATTCAATTTAAACCTGAATTTGACAATTTGTCACCTCCTGCCGCTCTGAAACGTTACATTAGTAAAGTAAATCTAGAACTGGAGAAATTTCTTCCCAGGGGATTATAACACATTATTGGCAGCATTCAATTGAAAATAGCAAATTTACTGCTTGGTGCAGTGACTGCATATTTTGTAGACAAACATGGCAGCCAATTTTGCACACAGCAATATTTCACAATAGTGCCATGTCTTTTTTTGTTGTATTTGTTTTTTTACACACACATCCACCTGAACAGGAAGTCAGTATCTCAATGTTAGTGTTTCATCCAAAGGATGATGCCTCCACAAAACAACACATTTCATATATATATATATATATACACACACACACATTGGGAGGCACAACACAACCCCAGTACTACAATGAAGTGTCAGCCTAGATTGTGAGTTCAGAGTCCTGAAGTGGAGTATAGAATCCACAAACGTGTGACTCAAGAGGTGAGAGTGCTGCCAATTGAGCCAGGCTGGCACCTAATTATTGACTTGTCATAACTCTGTCACAGAACAGGACATAGGGATCGAGCTGGATTACCCATGCATAATAATCCCAATTGCAGTGGAGTGCAATCTTTTCCATGAAAGAGAGAAATCTAATTGACAGATGAACTCAGGATGCTCTCCCACTTCCCCATTCTCCCACCATCTCCTGTGCTGAAGTTGTTCTCAGGAAAGGCTTATGGTGCAGAGGGAGTAAAAGAGTTAAATAATTATTACAGAAGGAAACAATCTCATATCAGTGTCTGTTTTAAAGCGATCTCCTGCATTGCATTAAATTCTGCAGCATAATTTTGCAGCCTTATGAATGTTTGGACGATGCCCGAGGAGAATATCTCTATTTCAGATAAGCAGCACACTCGCACTGAGCCAGTTGTGCTGCATGGATGAAGACCACATGATTAGACATTTATTAGCGATGACTGAACCATGCTAAAAAAAAGCACAATTTCATTGCTGTTAATAAAGGCATGCACACAAATATACTTCTCAACTCACAGGGTACCACTTATTTATACTGATACCTTGCCTTAGTTTAGTATCTGTGTAGATAACCTGGACATTAATGTTAAAATAAAAATTCTGGCATTTCATATCAGGAAGATGTACAAAGTTCTTCACAGGATTTCAGGTTTAGTGACTGTATATTTTATAAGCCCTATAATCATACAGGGGTGAATAACATAAATGTTGCCTGTTAAGCAGCTCATCATTATTTAGTCATTCACTGCTTAATGGTGCTACAGTATTTACATTTGTCTCCCATCTGATCCAGACAACTAAAAGCAACAGAACAAGGTTTCAGATTATAACATCAAATGGGTGTGCATTTTGAGAAGACAAAGGGAATGGCACAGTGACAGGGCGGCAGAGAGAAAAAGAGAACATGTAGCAAGGCAAAAGGGATAGACAGAAGGAGAGAAAAAAACAGAGAAAATAGACAGTGTGTGTGAATGTTAAAGGACAGAGCAAAAGGCAGTGT